CGCGCGCGCTGCAGGGCGGCCTCACGTCTGCACCCGCTGCTCCTTCCCCGCGCCCGGATTTTAAACACACCTACGGGAAAAGAGAGAGCCCAACCCCTCAGTTCTCACTGTGGCCAAAATTTTCACTTCGCCTTTTTGCAAGAACGGCCAGAAGTCACAAGAAAAAGGACACCCCTCTAAGATTCATCCTTTCTATAAACTCAGCAATCTTTCTTTTTTTCAATAAATCTTTTTTGACCAAAAGATCTTTTTTTTTCAGCTGTAGTTTGAATGTAWTTAGCCAAGTGGAGGAGGGAGATGGATCCTGAAATTTATTTTTAGGTTACAGGACAAAAGAATTAGGGAGAGGGGAAAGAGTCACCTCCATAATTAATTAAATCAGCACTGTTATCAGCATCTCCAGCTATTAGCTCTGTACTGCTGGTCATTGTAAGCTCTCCTTAATTAACTGGGTTGAAAATACAAACTTCATGCTTATCCAATRCTTAATGACTTATTTTGCTCCATTCCTCTTGTGCCAGGTGCTGCGGATCCCATTATTCTTCCAAAGATCTCAGTAAACCTGCAGTGGTGCTGGAAAACATTTCAGCAGCAAACAGTGGTGCTGATAAGATATCAACGGTGGATTTGGCTGGCCCGGTGTATATAAGTTACATTTCTGAGCAGCAAACGGTATGCAAAGAGTTGGCTGCCTCAGAAGAGGCAATTTCCATGCTGGGGCTGCCGCTCTTCTCCTTTGCTGCTTCCATAACACCCCCTGACACTCCGCCAGAGCAGTGAGGCTCCACCGTGTGTCTTAGTGGCTGCTTGGGGTTTTTTTTCTGGAGGGAAAAGCGCCTCAAGGCCCCTGGGTGTGCTAGCAAACTGATGGATTGATACGGCCCGCGTCATTTCCAGTTTTCCTATGGGAAATGCCGTAGCTTTSGACTATGAACCTGGACCACACCAGTATTAGAAAGCGCAAGGAACTGGCAATTCTTTCTGGAAGCAAAGAAAAAAAAAAGTCCTGTCCTTCTTTGTAGATATAAGTACTCTGCCCGTGTGATGTCTTGTGTTAAAAACTGGCTGAAAGAAATCCCCTTAGGATGAGTCATGGGGAAATATGTAGGGACTATTTCTGATAATTTTTACGCCAATTTCTCAGTCCCTGTGACTCACCTTTGAGAGCCACGTGCTGAGCTGAGGCCTGACTTCTCCACGTGGTTTCCTGCTAGTCGCAATGGAGCAAATCCGTGGCCGTGGCACCACTGTCAGGAAGACTGCAGTCTGCAAGTCAGCCGCCTACGCGACTTAGTTGTTTTCATTTTTTATCTGCCCCTATTCAGAGGATGAAGGAAGATATTGTCTATTAATCTTTAAACTCAATGCTGCAACTTTCCGAGAACCAATGACCTCTGCCTCCAGCGAGATGCCAACTTGCCAAGAACTTGCCCCRTCCAGGTGGCACTTACAAGGAGGCAGATTACCCTGAGAGCTGGCACGGGSAGGGAGAGGTTGGTTCCTTGCCTCCACGCAGCGTATTCCTTGGATAACAGCTGCCTTGTGGAGGTTAGGTCTTTTTTTGCATTGATCTTTTCAACTTGGTGACCCAACCGTAGCTGGGAGGTCTCAGGAAGCAGGAGAAAAGCCCTTGGACCGATGGTTATTGCTCTAAAAGGGGTCTAAAGGGGGCTGGCCTGTTCAGTTGTGTTTCCAGGAAGGCCTCTTGGCTTCGAAGATGGTCCACTTGCATATTCAAGCAGGTTGTTCCTGCCTTCCCGCAGCCGCTGACAGCCACCACAAGCAGCTTTGCTGCTCTTTCCCCAATGCTGCTCACTGCAGGGGCACAAAATACCCCGCTGTCAAAGTTCCTAACACCGTTCCCTCATCCTGCACTAAATCCCCCCTTAAAACCTGCTGCGGCCCCATAGCCTGCAAATCCAGACTGACTGTCATGGGTAAGACAAGTCCAAGCAGGGACTCCTCATTCTCCAGCAAAGGTGATTTGTTTTGCTACAGCCCCTTGTTGCCCCTCGTTGGCCTGTTTTATATATCCATTATACCAGAGCTGTCGCATAGGGAGGGAAATCTCCAAGCCTGTCACCTCTGAAAAATACTTATAAAGGACCTAGCACAACAAGGCTCTTGGTTGAGTGTATTCCAGCATGAAATTAATGGGAATGGCAACAGGGATCATGATGGGAATAGCACAATGCAATGTAAAATAATGTAATGTGATATCGTGGTACTCCTAATACCAGTAATAATAATACAGCATGTGTGTGCGCATGTGTTACACAACAAATGACATTAAATGACATGGTTACAGAGCCAAGCGTGATAAACTTAGCCACGGCACCAATAAATTTATATGTAAGTGCAGAACTGGGTATTCTTTCTTTTTTTCTCCAGGCTCCAGGTAGTCCTCTTGTGTATGGAGCTGCGTTAAATTCTTCCACGGTGCAAAATCCCAGGAAAGCTGGTAGTCTGTGATTTGAAGGGGACAGATCTCTGTGTTTCCTAAATAGCAAAGGAGAGGCAGAAATGATCATGTGCATTTTAGAGCAGTGGACAGGAAAAGGTCTCTCTACAGCTAATGAAGGGTAAGAACTTGATAGTAATTCATTTGAATGTCCCAAGTCGTGTCACGTTCCCAGAGCCAGTGGTTMAAACAACCAGGCTGTTAAATCACCTGAGCATCCAGTGTGTCCTGCAGCAGAGCAGTCAGGTCTGCAGCGCGCAGCATCGCCCTTTGCAGTAGCACAGCAGGGTGATGATCATGAAGAGTAGAAAGGACTTTAGTTCACCTGTGAGATGCAGGATTTCTTCACAGCACATTCCAGAAACACAGAACTGTATTTTTTTTCAGATATATAGGATTTTATGGATTCATGGAGTTACTCCTGATMGAGTACCTATATCAGAGGAAATGCATGGGGAGCTTCCACCAGTACCTTGGTTCGACACGCTGCTCCATATAGTGTATACAGTCTGGGGGAAATTTAAAGGTTTTTCTATTGACTACTACAGAAATCAAATCAGGATAACAGTCGCCACAGCCCAAATGACATTTCTTCACTTTCTGCTTTGAATTGCACAGCCCCATTTCCCACCTCTTTTGTATCACTCAAGAACGTGTTTACTGGTATGTCTGTAAATAGCAATGGGAGGAAGTCATCAAAGCTMTTTCACAGAAGAAGGGGATGGCAGGTGAGGGTAAGGATTTAAGTTATGAGAAGACTCAACAGGAACAATCAAACATAAGCCCAAGAACGGCTGTAGGCAACAAGGCTGAGTCTCGGAAACTGTAGTGGAGAAAAAAGAGTCAGCCCAGAGAGCTGTGTCCTGTACAAAACCACCAAACAATAAAAGAATAAATGCAAGAGGGAAGACTGTAAAAGAATGAAAAATGCCACAGTCTTCACATTGTGTGGCCCACCTAGCCTGTGATCTTTTGATATCTGTAAAATGGCTTAAGACTCGCTGCAGATGATACCACAGGGATTTACTGCAGTGAAAAATAACACTCCAATAAAGGGAAAAAAAAAAAAAAAGCTTTCTTTATAATGTTTTAATGCAAGCAACTCTGGTTTTGCCTTCAACCATGTAACATGATGATTCAGAGACAGGGCTCATGTGGTTGTTGAGTTGCCATGATGGAGCTTAGAAAGCAGAAAATCATTTCAAGTTTATGTAAGCCTTAGAGCAGCTGCTGCTTGGAAATACATCTTAATTATGGGTAAAAATGTTRACCCATGGCTTGTATGCTTATTTTAAAAGCTCTTTTTTTTTTCATTGCTATAATTCTAAATATTGGCTCTTCATTGAGGTTAGTATTTATTTATAGTTTGGATATTGCAAGGAGGTAGTCCAGGAAATGCTGCTTGATGACAGTGGTTATTAAAGATGCTTGGTTTGGACCTCTGCGGCCAAGCCTTATATATATATATATATATTTATATATATATATATACACACATACACATAAATATATATGTTTTTTATGAGATCTAGAGTTGTGTCGAATTTTAAAACCTAAATGAGAGATAAGTAACTTAGGTTGGAAGCCCTGGGCTTACAGGTATGTCCTCACATAAGTCAATATGCTTTTAAGTATTCCCAATACCTGTTGCCCTGTATGAAGTAAAGCATACAAGTAGTATTTGCAAAATCAAGGCCAAAATTTGGAAGTATTTTGAACTTCCATACAACAAACACTTCTGTATATATTTAAATAACACTAATTTCACTGCATTTAGATATCAATAACTATACAGTATCTCTGAGCTCCAGTTATTATTATTTTGGTTATCTTGTTGCAGAAATACCTAGAGGCCCTGACTGAWACAATATAAAATATAGTTGTTTTATTAGAATCACAGAATCATTATGGCTGGAAAAGACATTCAAGATTGAGTCCAATTGTAAATTCTGGCCTCTAGTACAAATCTTGACTTCTGCTCTCATTATGTTTAGGATAAAGACCAATTAGGATCTGAGTGGATTTCCTATTTTAAACCAACGTACACTGGTGGAAAAAAAAAAAAATAAAGGGTAAAAATCAATTGACAGCACCCATCAAATTAAGTACAAAATAACGCCATAGTATTTCCACATGCAAAGTGCTTGGTATTTGTAGTGAATCTACTGATATTAGGTAATTGGTGCACGGACCAAGGTGGATTTAGGGCTATATATTTAGGRAGCTTCCTTTGGGAATGCAGCTGGCACAGAGCTGTTCTAGGTGACCGCCTGGGGTGCCATGTTCTCATGGAGGCTAGCAGGTGGGAGAAAAAAAAAGTCATTTTCCCATAGTTTTTTATATTTTTTATTTGTTTTTCTGTTTATTCTTGAATATTTCTCAGGTCACCACCGGGCTCCACTTCCCCACGCGAAGCTCGCCCTGTCCGTCATGGCGGCGCCGCCTCCCCGTCATGGCGCCGCCTCCCCGTCATGGCGCCGCCTCCCCGCCACGTCGCGCCCGGCCCCGGCCCGGCGGCGGCGGCGCATCGCGGAGGCCGCGGCGGCGGCCATGGCGTTCACGCTGTACTCGCTGCTGCAGGCCGCGCTGCTCTTCGTCAACGCCATGGCCGTGCTGCACGAGGAGCGCTTCCTGCGGCACGGTGAGGCGCCATGGCGGCGGGACAGGCGCGGGCGGCCAGCTCGCCGCCCCGGGCCTGCGGCGCCACCGGGGGCTGGGGCGCGGCCGCGGGACCCTTTTTCCTCCTTATGCTTATTCCTTTTTTTTTTTTTTTTT